CCTGCAGCTACAAACGGGAGCTTAACCAACCCTCAGAAACTTAGATGACTCAGTCTGAAAAAAACAAAAACAAAAAAAAGGATCCTCAGGTAAAATTATTTATCAGAACGTTGTGGATCAGAACTGCAACTTCATTTAGAATCATAAACAGCATGCCTGTCTGATGCTCTGTATAGTTTATGCTGCTTCTTTCACTGATCAGTAACTCATAGATCTGTAAACTTTTTATTTTATAAACTATGACTGAATTAAGAAGTGAAAAAAAAACCTTTTCAGAATTCAGCAAACTGAAAAGAATGTTTAATCACTCCCTAAAGAGCAACAATCATGAAACAGTTTAGTTTGTATGAAGTCAGAATTCACCAAAAGTGCACACGCATAATAAATATCGATATTATTAAATAATGAGCAGTTTAAGTTCAAACACACACATAAACTACTCTCCATGTACATTTTGAGAGATTTATGCTCATTGATTTAATACCATGATCCCCTACATCTCAAGCATCAGCCTATGCTCCTTCTCCTGTAGATCCTCTCCTACTTACGTGTGAACTTGTTTCTCTGTGCTAATGTCAACTTTTCTCACTTTGTGGGTGAAACAAACTTGAGAAAGTAAACTACCTGTGATCAGCTATTTTTCAAGATATCTCAGCTCTACTGTTCCCTTCATAGTAGCAGCTAGTAATAAATGTAGGGCTGGGTTAAAAAATCGATTTAATCGATTTGAATCGATTTCCCTTTAAATAGCCCGATATCGATTCATAAAAACCATAAATCGATCCATTTAAGTACGTCTTTCCATACATTCATGACTTCTCGCATCCTGCGAGATCTCGTCACTGCGCGAAAGGAGCGCGCCAAAACAATATGGCGGAAACTCTGAAATCACCGCCAAGAAGTTTGAAGGCACATGTCTGGAAATATTTTGGATTTAAAAAACAAAATGAAAGCAGTGAACTGGATAAGAGCAAAATGGTTTGCAAGATTTGCTACGCAGAAAAACACAACTAATCTTCGAAACCATTTAACGAGACACCACTCAGCACAAGCACAATCTGATTCAGCCCCGAGGCAAATGCAGCTCGAGAAGGCATTTGATATCAAGTTACCAGCAAATTCCCCAGAAAATAACTAAGGCTATCGCTACATACATCTGCAAAGACTTACAACCATACTGCGTGGTTGAAAATGAAGGTTTCCGTGGCCTTATGAAGACGCTCGAGCCACGCTACGTTATACCCTCACGCAAACAGTTTAGTGAGGTAATAATCCCAAGCATGTACGCAGATGTAAAACAAACAGGCGTTGCAACGACGCTTAAAACAGCAACGAGAGTTGCCCTTACCTGTGATTGTTGGACTTCTAGGGCAACTGAGTCATACCTAACTATAACTGCTCACTACATCGACAAACGGTGGGACCTAAAGTGGCATGTCCTACAGACAAGAGCAGTTGAAACTAGCCACACTGCAAGTAATTTACG